CCAGTGCTTCCCTGATTTTAGGCTTCTCCCCCTGAAGAGATGGGGCCACCAAACCACCCCAGGGTGTGCAGAAGATCTCCTGTACCTCAGTGGTCCAGGTGCCCTGGCTTTGCTTCCAAGCTTGGAAAAAAATACTATTTTATGTAGATGTATTAGAAAACGGATCTGCTCTCACTGATTTGCATGTTCCATTCCCTTGGAAGGCGGAGGGGGCTGGCAGGTGAGGCAGCTCAGCCACCACGGGGATCAGACAGCCCCGAGGTGGCAACAGCTGAGTTGTAAGGCCTGGAATATTGGGGCTTTATAATGGAAATGCTGCGAGCCCCTTCACTACGGCGCCCGGCGCTACGGGGGCTTCTACAATAACTGAGCCAACTCCCTTGAAAGATCAAAAATTAATAGACATTTCAGACAGGGTTTGAGGTTTCGACCACTGCTTTTTCAATAGCAAAGACTTTGCTAAAGTTAGAGACTGAGGAGGTCAAGCTTTGGGTAACACAAACATTTCCTCTTTGATTAGGGGGAGACTACTTTACCTCGCCTCCTTTTTTTTTATTTTATTATTTTTTTCATTGAGTAGTAGATTTTAGGTCATCCTTAATTTTTTACTGACAACAAAGAGCAGGTCATTGACCTACATAGAGAGCTATTTTATTTTTCTCCCTCTCGATAACAATGGCCAGAACACCTATGTGCCAGGTTCTTCTGTATTCCCATATACTCGGCAATTCACCATGGGGGCAGGACTTAAAACCTTTGAGCCTCTCAGTGACTGGGATAAAAAAAAATTATCTGGGCTTCCTTCCAGCCATTTGAGCTTCAGAATCCATGAGATTTCAACAAAAAGGATATCAGAGCTTTAATCTAGGAGCTTTTTGAAGAGATGGAAAAAAAAAAGTTCCAGTAAAGTTCAGTCTTACCTTCTTCACTTTAGGAGCTGTTCATGCCAACGTCGGCCTATTTAGTAGAGTTCCTCTCCTTGACCTCTTTTTTACAGCCGAGATAATTAACATGGTGGGGTAAGATGAGTCTCTAAATTCACTGCACTCTCTCCCTGGCGCTCTCCCTTTTCCCTCTTAAAGCTGGGGATGATTAAAGGAGCCTGTCTTTATTGGCACCCCGAAAAAAAAAATAAAATAAAAATAATTGAGGGGGAGAGGAAGAGCCTCGGCGGCGGGGAGGGGAGGGGAGAGCTTGCGTGGGGCGCTGGGCAGGCGCTGGCAGGGATGCAGGACACGGCTCCTGCCTCCCATCACGGCAGGAAGGGATGCTGAACATCTGCAGAGCCCTCCTTCTGATCTCCCTGAACGTCCCAGGCTTCCCTCATGGCCAGGGAGAGCCTGCCTGGAGAGGAAATCCCCCTTCTCCAGCCTCGCACTGGAAAGAGCTCAGCAAGGAAAGAGCTCTGGGAAGCCAAGGGATGGGACAGGAAGGTGTCACTCCTGCTTCCAGCTAAGCAATTCCCTTCTCCAAGCCTTCCCTCCAACATGGGAGCTGGAAGCAGAGTTCTCCACCTCCTCCAAGCCCCCAGAGACAAGGGATGGGGGATGAAGGATGGGATGGATCAATGCAGGAGCTCAGGCAGCGTACAAGGGGCACTGGGATAGGGAGCAAGCACCAGGGACAAGGGGAATGGGAGGGATGAGCAGGAAACAGGGGATGAGCAGGAAGGCAGGAGCCCAAAAAGGTCAAGACAAGGCCAAGACAAGACAAGGAGCCAAGCCCAGGCACTGGCATCCTCCAGCTATTCCAGCATCATCCTGGACACTCTGCCCTGTGGCTGTGGGAAAGCAGCACTGCAAGGGGAAAAAAGCCCAGGGATATGAAAAGCCAGCGTTTAGCATCATCTAGTGCTAAACCTCATCCTCTGCTCCGTTCTGCCTTGCTAAATACAGCACTCGGAGCATTTGGAGCCATGGTTTTGGGAAGCTGGGCAAGAGCAGCTCCTGAGTGGGTCCTGACAGAGAGATAAAGAGCCCAGGAGCAGCCAGGGGGCTGGCCCTGCCCTCTGAGACGTGACAGGATGAGGGATTTCACAGACAGACCTCGCTCCGACCCCGGCGACGGGAGGAAAAACAAACAGGAGGTTTTTCCTTAAGGAAACTGGGGCCTGAGCGGGTTCTTGGGACGGGATTTTCCCTGCAGCCTCCGCTGCCCCAATCTCCTGCTCCTCCTGCTGGTTGTTCTTCACATCCCATTCCTAACAAATCCCGCTTTCCCAGCCTGGGTGGTTTCCATCCCAGCCAGTGGGATCCATCCTGGCATAAGGAGGGTGGTGGGCTCATCCTGCCCTGACTTACTGATGGGTGAAGAAATAAAAGAAAAAAAAAATCAATCCCAAATAATTTTCTCCCATTCCATTTGATCCAGGAGCCCAGGGCAGGGTGAAGGTGGAGCACCAGCACCACTCACCCCAAATTTCCTTTACCTTAAGAAACGACTTGCCCAAGCAAGGGGATGTCACCCATTACCTGCAAACGGGTTGGGAATGGCTTGGAAGTGAGTTTAAATTAGTCGAAATTAGGCACCAGGCTGGATGGAAAACAAAGTTTTTTGTTTTGCCACTGAATTTCTGCTGAGATAAATGGAAAGCTGAACTCAGCATGCTCTTTCAGTATTACCAGGAGATTGGGGAGGAGCCCTTGAAAAAGCAGCAAGCCATTGCTGGGCCTTATTTAATGTGATTTTAGTCCATTCTGGTGGCAACAACCGGGCTGTGAATGAACATACAGGAAGCCAGAAACGCTGGGGAAGTGTTGGAGCTCATGAATTCATCAACAGAGAGATTTTAGAGGTTAACAAGAGCACCTACCCAGAACCTGCCTATGCCCAGATATCCAAACAGGAGACAAATGCATCTCCCAGGCTCCCACCCTTTCCATTCACTGGAAGAGAACTTCTCTTGTTCATAACTCCCTGCCAACATTCCCTCTGTGCCAAGGGAGGGGCACCCAGGGGGAAAATCCAGTATAAAAAGGCTTGGGTTTCTTCCAGCACTTGATAACCAAAAAGAAAAACCCTCCAGGGATGCAGCCTCTGGGAAGGATGGTCCTTCCACAGGGGAATATTTGGGAGGTGTAGCAGGAGATGAAGAGGAACTGAGCTCCCAGGGTGGGATTCTCTGTAAGGGAAAAGCCCAGGGCACAGCCAGGATTGGAAATCTTCAGCAGGTGGAAATCTTCACCCTGGGCACTCTTGCCCAAACCAGGGCAATGTTTGTGCCAAGACACAGCAGCCTCTTTGTCTGGGAATGCTTTAAGCATGATCTACCCCCAAAAAAAGAGGAAAAGCAGAACAAAAGGGGATTTTTCTCAGGGCGAGGCTGCTGCATTTTTGCAGCCAAGTCAGCAATATTTTTTTCCATTTTTCTCTGCAGAACCATCATTGGTTTGCCCTGAATATGTTGTTTTAGGGTGCAGAGCTACTTGTGACATCAGGATTAAGCTGCTCTGGAGAGATCCCAAGACAATAATCAGGGCTACAAACTCCCTGCTGACAAGGATGGCCAAGACCAGTAAAAGAGACTGAGTGTCTGAGTGATCCTCTCCAACAGCAGCCAGCGAGCCCCAAAAAAGCCTCAGGGAGACAAAACTCTCCTGAAGAAAGGGATTCAGCATCCTAGTGCAAAAAATTAAATTGGAAAGTAGGGACGTGAGGATTTTGGGAATGGCACAACCCCACCTAAATCCACTCTCAGGCAGCTACACCCCCAGTAGAACATCCACGGTGAAGCCTCTGGTGAGGGCTGGCACCTCTGGGAGGTACAGGAAAAGATCCTGAAGGGATTTTTTTCTGGCATCTCAGGCTTGAGGTGCACGGGAAAAGCAGGCCAGGGAGGTGTTTGTAGATTCTGCACTGCCAAGGACAGTGAAAATCCTCCCAGCAAATCCCTGGGGAAGTGATGAGGCAGGTCCAGAAAAGTCAAGTATATTATTAGTAGTAGTAGTATTAGCTCATTATTTTATTATTGATATTTTTCCCACACACATTAGCATTCCCGTGGGCCAGGAAAAGCAAGCAATATCCTGGTGCTATCCTTCCTCCCTGAGGTTCCTCTTCTTCCCCATCCCCGCTGCTGGAAGGGTCAGGGACTTCTCTGCCCCTCGTGCTCTTCTGTGTCAGCCCAGACCCTCAGCCAGGGCTCCAGTGACACCTGAGCTGAAACAAAAGATGGAAATTAGAGAGGCAGAAGGGGTTAAATATGGTGCTCCTGCCCTGGACTCCACCATCCCCATGGGTCCCTCCCAGCTCAGGATTTTCTGTGGTTCTGTGAAAACACAATCCTCTGCAGCAGAAGCGCAACACAGGTGTTGGGGTCCCTCCAAGGGAGAAGGAAAATCCATGTTTATATCCAAGCAAGTGGGGCTATTTTGGTCAAGGGGTTCAGGAATGGTCAGGGATGGTCAAGGATGGTGCAGGGTGGTCAAGGATAGTTGAAGACAATCAAGGATGGTTGAGAATGGTCAAGGTATTCAAGGATGGTCAAGATGGCAAAGGACAGTCTGGGATGGTCAAGGGTGGTCAAGGATTGTCAAGGATGGTCAAGATGGCAAAGGACAGTCTGGGATGGTCAAGGATGGTCAATGGTGGTCAAGGATTGTCAAGGATGGTCAAGATGGCTAAGGACAGTCCAGGATGGTCAAGGGTGGTCAAGGATAGTCAAGGATGGTCAAGATGGCTAAGGACAGTCCAGGATGGTCGAGGAGGATCAAGGTATTCAAGGACAGTCCAGGATGGTTGAGGATGACCATCCATGCATGACCCCGGTCAAGGGGCAGAGGGGGATATGGCCCAAACCACCTCTGCCCTCAGTGTGGAGGGCACCAGGGCACAGTGCCACGCTGCCCAGCCTGTGCTGCTCCCTCCCAAAATCCCCGAGTGTCACAACCCCAGCTCCAGCATGACTTCCCCCCTCACCCCACACCACCTCCCACCCCACCATCCCTCATGGCTCTACCGACACCACCCCTGAACCCTCATCCTGAAACCCCTTCCCGCAGGTGTGCCAAGCTCATGCTGATGCGCGGGGCGGCCGTGGAGCTGGGAGCGAGGCGGGAGGGGACACGGCCCTGCACATGGCCGCCAGGCACCGTCTCTGCCACCACGCCCGCCTCTACCTGCGGCGCCACGCCCGCGTCGACGCCCGCAACGTGCGCCAGGAGACGGCGCTGGGCGTGCTCTGCGGGCAGGCCCCGGGCGACGGCGACCATTCCCTGCAGCTTTTCCAGCTGCTGCTGGACCACGGCGCCGACGTGGAGGCCCGGGATGAGAGCTGGAGGCGGCCCTTGCACCGGGCCCTGCGGGGCGGCCAACGCCGAGCTGGTGCGGCTGCTGCTGCGGCGCAGCGCCGACGCCAACGCCGTCGACTACGACAGCATGTCCCCGCTGGGCTGGGCCCTGCAGGGCGCTGCCTCCCACCCGGAGCTGCGGCCCCACCTCAGCGTGCAGCTGCTGCTCAACCACGGCTCCCGGAAGATTTGGCCCCCGGCCTTCGTCAAGGTAGAGGCCCCGAAATGGCGCCCGGAGAGCGCCACGCACGCGCGGCCTTGAGGTTGGGAGATCTGGGACGTGTAAAGGCGGTAGGGTGGGAGAATTTGGGAGAGCTTCCATGTCTGGCAGGGAGAGGGGACGGTGGGGATGGGGAGTGCTGGAAGTGAAGGCCCAGCAGAAGGGCAGGAGGGAGCCAGGACGGCTCAGAGGGGGTTTTCCCTGCCTAGGGAATATCAGAGACAGGCCTGGCTCACGAGCTGCATCATAGCTCTGCGTTCCATTGATTTTACATCAAATCATAAAGAAAATATTATCCTGCCTTGTCAGGCACAAGCCAAAAATGTAAATAAGGAGTGAGGAAGAAGAGCCTCAGCAGGGCAGGGCTTTCCACTGTTCCAAAAGATGCCAGGAGAAACCCCACGCCTGCCCCATCCCGACACAGGGCTATCCCAACCTGGAGCGGGGTGGGGTGGGACAAACCCTGGCTGCAGCAGGTGGCTGTTGTCCCCTCTGGCCCTGCCTCGGTGTCTGAGCCCTCCCATGTCCCTGGACAGGTGCTGAAATCCTGCGCAGCCGTGCCGGAGGTCATCAAGGTCCTCTTCAACTCCTACTCCCAAATCCCGGTGTCCCAGGAGTGGGCCAAGGCCGTGCCAGAGGAGGTGTTCCAGGTGAGGCAGCTCTGCTGGCTTGAGACCCAAGGAGGGGGTTTTCCCTACAGAACAGGGGTTTATTTTCCCCACAGAACTGGGGTTTATTTTTCCCACAGACTGGTTTTTCCCCCCCACCCAGACTTCACTGGATGGAGGAAAACCAAAAGGAATATTCCCTAGAGCAGCACCACACACCTGATCCCTCCAGGTTTGCACCCCTTCAGCTCCACCATCCTCAGTCCCCACATCCCTGCCCCAGCCTTCTATAAAATCCACTCTCAGCCTCTGGAAGTGAGCCTGGAGCCAGAGCACTTCCCAACAGGAGCCCACATTCCTCGTTTTGGTTGGGAAAAGCTCCTCCTTGGATGTGCAACAGGTACAGCCAGCCCGCTCTGGGGTGATTTGGGATGGCTCCTGGCCCCACAGGCTGTGAGGGACAGCTGGAATGTGAACAAAGCCTTCAGGGTGTTCTGAGGAATGGGAGAAAGGATTTCTTCCCAAAATTAAGGAAAGGCCGAGGCTGCACAGCCCAATCCTGCTTTGTTCCCTCAGGAACAGGCTCTCTTCTACATCAGCTTTCTGTGGGATGCTGCTGCGCCCTCCCCAAGGCTGGCTTTCCCCAAGGTGCTTCCACAGGAGCATTCCAGTCCACAAGGTCCCAGTTCCACAGGAGAATTCCAGACCACAAGGTCCCAGTTCCACGGGGTAATTCCAGAATCCCTCACCCATCCTTTCCCTGTGTCAGTGCCTGGACCCCACACCCACAGCCACACCTGGGCTCCTTCCCTCATTCCCTTCAATCTTCATCCCTAAACACCTCCAGCTTCTCTGGCAGCCAGCAGAGGTGCCAGCCCAGGTGGGTGACACCGGCGTTGTCCCCTCTCTGCAGCAGCACCAGCCGTTCTACCAGTCCCACCCGGAGCCTGCAGCACCTGTGCCGTGCCACCATCCGGGCACACTGTGGGGACAAGTGCCACTCCCTCATCCCCCTGCTGCCCCTGCCCGGGGCCCTGCGGGAATTCCTGCTGCTGGAGCCCCAGGGAGTGGTGCTGTGAGGGAGCAGACCCAGGAGCATGTGTGCCATGAGGGGCGCCGCTTGCCGTGGCTGTTTTCCCAGGACTAAAATGTACTTTTGGCTGGAAATTTGTATCGTTTTTTGGGGTTTTTAACCCCCTTCTAATTGTGCTTTAAGTAGATTATAAAGAGTAATAAAATGATTAGTGGCTGGTACGAATAATGCTGATTATGGAGGATCCCTGCAAAGCAGCGGGGGCTGCTCAGGTGTGGGAAGGGAAGGACAGGGCAGGGGACACAAATCATCCCAGGGGACACAAATCATCCCAGGGGACCCAAACCATCCCAGGGGACACAAATCATCCCAGGGGGCCCAACCAGCTCAGGTGACTCCAACCAGCCCAGGGGACTGAAACCAGCCCAGGGGACTGAAACCAGCCCAGGGGACCCAAACCAGCCCAGGTGAGCATCAAATCCCCTGGGATAAATTTCACCTGGGAAGCAGAGGTGCTGTGTAGAAGCCCTCAGCAGGATGCAAAGTCTAGCAGCATTAATAAAGGCCCTAAAATACATTTAAAATTATTTTTTTTTTTTTAATGTAGGAGCCACCAAGAATGTTGTGGCTACTCCATGCAGCAGGGTGACACAAATCCCTGTATCTCCCAGCCCCTCCCCTACCCCTTGTGCCTGTCACTGCCCCCAGGCTGGCACAGGAAGGGGCTGGAAAACCCGAAATTGTGGAGTTTGGGTTTTCATCATTTCCCACAGTGACCTGGGCAAAGGGACCAGGAGGAGCGAGGACTTGTGTTTCCCACACGCTCAGGCTCTCGAGGTTAATCCCTGCTGCACCAAAGGACATGCACACGTGCATCCCTTGGGAGAACAGCTGTCCTTCTGCCACAGTGCTCCCCAAAACTCTTCCAGTGCTGAATTACACTTGGTTTTAAAAAAAAAAATTTTTTTTAATTTATGTATTGTATTTTAATATATAAATAATATATTATATTATATTATATATTTTTATATAGTATTTTTTGTATATATATTTTTATATATATATATATGTATGAATAACTAATTTTTCATGTTTGGCTGGACTTTGCATCCCTGGCTCCCAGAGCTGCTGCCCTTGGAGCGTGGAAATGAGGAGGAAAATGAATTCTTCCCATCTTCCACCTGCTGCTCCCACAAGTTCCCTGTCCCTCCGTGGACAGCCCGAGCCCTGCCAGCCCTGCCTGGTGTCCCCAGCATTTTGTGCCTCTCGGGGGTGGTCCCATCCCAAATCTCCGTGATCCTTTCCTGGCTTTTTTGGCTCCACGCTTTGTTTTGGTGGGAATTGTGGGGGATTGGGGCAAAACCCATCCCGGCTGAGCCAGTCCCCCTCGCCTGAGCCGAGCCAGCCGGAATCCTGCTGTTCCTTTCACCTTCGTCACCGGTGAGCTCCCTGTGCGCGGGGGGGAGGGGGACACAGAGAGTCCCACCAGGACACCCAAAAAACCCAAAGCTCCAAATCCCCAAAAACCCCAAATCCCCAAAACCCCAAATCCAGAGGAGTGGAGGGGGGAATGCACCTCAGAGGGGGCACAACAGCGCTGTGGGACGACGGGACAGAGGGGGACACGGGGGACACGGGGGGACAGAGGGGAGCGGAGGGAATAGAAGGGGACAGAGGGGAACAGGGGGGACAGGAGGGGACAGGATTGGACAGGGGGGACAGGGGTGGCCCTGGGAGGGGGACAGGCCTGGGGGGGTGCGCGGCTCCCCGCGGCCGGCAGGGGGCGCGCTTTGCTCGGCCGTCGGGGGCAGCCGGGACCCCCCGAAAACACCCGAAAAATGAGATTTAAAGGCCAAAAAAAAGCCTCTAAAACATCGACTCCGAGCCCTTTGGGGTGGGGGGGGATGGTTCTCCTTTGGGTTCGCGCCGTTCTGCCTGCGGCGGGGGGAGCGCGGCGGCGGGAGGATGCTCCGGGCGGGATGGTGGTGGTGGTGATGATGATGATGCTCCGGGTGCGATGATGATGATGCTGATGATGATGATCATGCTGATGATGATGATGCTCCGAGTGGGATGATGCTCCGGGCTGGGGTTGATAAGTTTGGCGGGCGGTTTATACATATACATATATATCTATACACCCCAAATATAGACTATTTTAGATTTTTTTTCCTTCCTGGCAGTGCCTTGTTTTGATGCAGATGTTCTGGGAAAAGGCTCGGGTTTTTTTCGTTTTTTTTTTTTTTTTTTTTTTTTTTTGGGGGGGGGGGGTTGTTTTTATTATTATTATTATTTTGGCTATTATTATTATTTTCCAGCAGCTAAAGACGGGAGGTCACATTAACTTCTAATACGGAGACACATAAAAATGCGATTATGCCTGCTAAACAGAACACAGTAGGCTGCTAGTTAAGACAATGAGATTTCCAGGAAGCGATGCATAAATTCTTCAAAAAATGACACATTTTTCACGTTTCATTCCAATTAAATTACTGAGGCAGCTAACACAGCGCTGCGCACGCCATACATTTGGGGGAAATGAAGGCTTTCTGTGTTTTTTCTCCTTTTTTTTTCTCCTCTTTTTTTTTTTTTTCATTTTAAGTAGATCTGGATGTGCGTGTTTTATGAAAGACGTTTAATATTAAGCTGCTATTAAGGCAAAAAATGTCAGAGACCTTCCTCTCTCCTCGAGGATTTTTTCTTCTTCTTTTTTTTTCTTTTTTTTTTTCCTCTGTGTGTGTGTGTGTGTGCTTGGGCTGCTCCTGCTCGTTTTCCCACCCTGCGGTATTAAAGCACCGATGGTCCAGCTGCAAAACAATTTCCAAATAATGGGAATTCCCCGCCCTGCTGCACACACCTCTCTGATTGCAAGGAGCAGGGGAAAATTAAGGAGCGATGCGCACCCTCCCACCGGAAAAAAAATATAAAAAATAAAAATAAATAAAAATAAATTTGAAAAAAAGATTCTGCCGTCCCGTCTGGTGTTTTTTCCCTGCTCGGGATCGAGCCCCACCGGGCTGCAGGGGGTGGTGATCCCAGTGGGAAGCCGAGTTTGCCTCTCACCGTCTGAACAGGGGCTCGTCAGGGCGGCAATCAAACCCCGAAGTGGCCCCGGTAATGAAACAGAGTTTGATTTTATTTATTTTTTTTTAATTTATTTATTTCAATTTTTTTTTTTTTTTTTTTTTAAGCGCGGGCTGCGCTGGGTGATCCGCAAAGCGATACGAATCAGAAATGAGATTTCTTTTTTTTTTTTTTTTTTTTTGAAGTCCTAATGAACCTGATTGCAGGAACATTTATAATCCCCCATGGCTTTAAATGAAATCAGATATAATCAGGAGCTATGGGGAAAGGGAGTGTTTACAGGCAGAGATTGGGAAGTGCTGCTGTATTAGTAAAGATGCTGCTCCTTCTATTGATGTCTGAAATGATGGATAATGTGAGAATGGCAAATATACTATTTGTCTAATGGCTCTGCAATTAAATTCCCCTGTAAATGACCCATGCCTCATTTCATCCTAATCTATGGAATTTTGATTGAATTCGTCAGCTCTAATTGAAAAATACTGCACTTTAATGTCTGCAGTGCAGTTTCAGGACCGCGCTGGTTTTAATGAGACGGTGCCCCTCTGACCCGGGAATATTTTAGACTTTTATTCGGGATTTTTTTTAATTTTTTTTTTTTTTTTTAACCGGTGGATTTCTCAACTCGACTCCACGAAAAGCCGGGAACGAGAGGGTGCGTGGGGTTTGCCACCGCTAAACTCTCCGTGGCGATGTGTTTGATTAAGGTCTCCTGTAAGACTCTTAAAATACTCGGACTCCGCTTGTTTAAATATGTATCCATTTAAAATAATTTTAGAAATAGCCTGCTTCCCATTATCCGAACGAATTTCGGGGTAAGAGCCGGGATTATGGAAGTCAAATAAATTTTTTTTTTTTTTCTTCCCCCGGTTTTTTTTTCCCCTTTTGCCCCTTTTTTTTTTTTTTTTTCTTCCCCCGGTTTTTTTTTCCCCTTTTGCCCCTTTTTTTTTTTTTTTTTCTTCCCCCGGTTTTTTTTTCCCCTTTTGCCCCTTTTTTTTTTTTTTTTTCTTCCCCCGGTTTTTTTTTCCCCTTTTGCCCCTTTTTTTTTTTTTTTTTCTTTTTTTTTTTTTATCTGCACCGTGATATTTTTACCCTTTTTCCCTTTTTTCCCTTTTTTTTTTTTTTTTTTTTTTTTTTTTTCCTTTACCCGAAAATCCCGAGCACCTTGTTAAAAAGGGAAGGGGGAGGATGGAGGGGGGAAAAAAATAAAAATTAAAAAAAAATAAAAATAAAAAAAAAAAAGAAGCGTGGAGTGGAAGTGGGGGAACCCCCGGGAGGGGCTGGAAGGAGTTCAGAGGGGAACACTCGAAGGAGTTAATGGGATTAAGCGGCGAATGAGGGCTTTAGTGATTGTTTTGAGGTTTGGGGATTATTTTGGAGTTTGTTTTGCTGGTTTGGTTTTTTTCCCCCTTTCCCCTGTGCAGGGAGTGGGGGAGGAAGGAGGGGGTTCCACGCGTGGGGCGGGGGGCGCATCCCTCCGTGCACAGCCAGGGCAAATCCTGCCCTCCCACCCTCCTGCTGGCAGCTCCCAAAATTCTGGAATAACCCCGGGAGCTGCCTCCCATTCCCCCGGGAGGAGGAGTGCGAGCCACGGCCGCATGCCTGATTTTGGCTCTTTGCACCTGCAGCAGTAAGAGCTCGCTGATTTTTGGAGGGGTAATTCTGCTCCGGGTCTCTTCTCTTGCTCACCTCCCTTTCCTTGGGGGGAAAAAATACTTTAAAAGCACTGCAGGGTGATGTGGTTTTGATGATTTTGGTGACGTTTCCCACGCAATTAAAATTTCCCCGGCAAATGCAAGAATTAGCTGGAGAGAGCCTCTGGATGGAAGCCCGGGTTTCGCTTTGGAGAAATCCAGAAATGTGGATTGATCAGCCGCTGGCAATCAGAGCTGTGCCCCCTCGGGGGTGCCCGGGGGAGGGTGGGCAGCGATCCGGGATCGCGGGAGGGGCTGGGGGCGGCTGTGCCTGGGGCATTCCCACCTGGAGGGGCTCCAGCCCATCCCAGCCCTCCCTCACCTCTCCCTCCCCGCCTCGAGTTGGGGTTAAACTCCAGGAGGGAATCACCCCCACCCCACAAACCCTGCCCGCTTCCAGGATGCCCCCACGTCACTGCTGGCGAGGATTTTGGGGACAAACCCTGCCAGAAGCCACCTGCTCCTGCTCCATCCCCGAGAGCGGCGTTCTGGCTCCCCATCTCCGGCTGGGGCCGGGGCTGCTCCCTCCGCACGGCCCAGCCAGGGGGGAAAGGCTGTCCCAACCCAGCCCGACCCTCTGCAGCGCTGATTTCCTCCAAATCTTTGGGGTTCGCCCCCTTCTTGCGCTCTTGGGGTCCCCTCTCGCTCCTGCTCCGCTCCCCGGACACAACCGCGCCCCGCTCGCTCCTGCCACAATCGGGGAGCGCCGAGTTTTTGGTTGGGTTTTTGGTTTTTTTTTTTCTCCGGGAGAAAAAAAAAAAAAAAAATCAGCTAATCATGTGCCGAACAAAAAGCCCATTCTTGCCCGAAATAATACTGCCGTCCTGCAAAGGCACTTGTTTGTGGGCAAATTTTGAAGGGGGCTGACGATAAAAACAGCTGCGGGAGCTGGCTGTTGGTACACATTTCCATGCCTAATTATCCCTGCCCTGCCCGCAATCCAGCGGGGCTTTCCTGAAAAAAAGAGGGAATTTTTTTTTTTTTTTTTTTTTTTTTTTTTTTTTTTTTTTTTCCCTCTGGGCTCGCTTTGCTGCGCTCCCCGTGAGGATTCCCCGGATTTTGGGTTTGGGGTTTTTGCGGTTTTGGGTTTAGCGCGGGGCTGGGTGGAGGGGACAGAAGCAGGAGAGGGCTGCGATCGCCGGCTGGAGCACGGGGAGAGGGGGAAAGGGATAAAAAATGGGAGAGGAAACATCCACGAAGCATCCACGGGGAACATGCCACCCTCCGCGGGGCTGGGAAAGCTCCCGAGCTGCTGCACATATGGTGGCCTCCGCAAGACGGAGCCAGGACATATGGAAATGAGCCGGAGAAGCCAACTTTTCCCAGTCCCTTCGAGTCGGAGCTGGGCCCCAAAAGTGTTTGTGCACACACATCACACAAACCCCCCTCCCCATCCCCATCCCCATCCCCAGCCGCAGCTGCTCCCGTGGCCATCCCACCCCCTCCCCGCGGCCCTCCGGGGAAAATCCTTCCCGCAGAGACCCCAAAATCCTGCTCTGGGTGACGCACAGCGCCCCAAAAGCTGTGTCCAGGCTGGGGGGGGGGGTGGAGGGGGGCAGCCAGATGCAGCCAAACTTGCGCCGAGGCCCACCGGGAATAACCTGCCCCCCTCTAATCGGCGAGAACGTTTTCAGATGGCGGCTGAGGGATGGACAGACTGCGGGATGGACAGACTGAGGGACGGACCGACTGACCCAGAAACGCGGGCACGGCTCCCAGCCCCGCTCGGGAGATTCGGGAGCGGGAATCTGCCGGGAAAGGGATGTGGGGGGATTTGGGGGGCCGGGCGGGAGCTGGGGACCCCAATTCCTCAGGGTTGGTTTCGGGGCGGTGCCGGGGATGCGCAGCCGTGCCCGCGGGGGTTTAGAGGGGTCGGGTTTGGGCTTGTCCCCGGCGCTGGCAGCGACACCGCCACGGGGGTGGCACCGTCCTGCGCGACATGTGCCACCCTCGGTGGCAGCCGCGGCCGTGCCAGCCGGGAGCCAGCGGCTCAGCTGCGGATTCCCGAGGCGGCAGCCGGCCGGGAGCGGGGGCTCCTGCAGATCCTTGGGATTTGGGGGAGCCTCCCCACGGCCGCAGCCGCTTCCAGGCGGGGTTGGGCTGCAGATCCCCCCAAAGCCAAGCGCAGGGGCACAGCCAGCACCATTGTCCCGGGAAGACTTCAACTTCCCAAACCCACCCCCAGTCAACTCCCCTCCTTTCTCTCTCTTTTTTTTTTTTTTTTTTTTTTTTTTTTTCCCCTGCATTTAATTTTATTTTCCAAACCACTTGATCTTTGCTTGGGAACCTCCATTAATTGCCTGGGTTTGCCTCTTCGCCTGGTCCCTTTATCATTATTTATGGCCTTTGAAATTGTGTAAAGTTCCCTTGACGTTCAATTTACAAGTTTGGGGGCTTTTTTTTCTTTTCCCCCCCCCTTTTTTTTTTTTTTTTTTTTTTTTTTTTTTTTTTTTTTGTTCCAGCTTTTGTCCTCGCCAAAGACGTCGTGTTGGAAAAGGCTTTGAGCCGGCCAACATGAGAAGCTCGCCGGAGAAAAGGGAGCAGCCCCTCCATCGCTTTTAATTCCGCCGTGTTGCTGAATGGCTCTTTTACATAATTGCAGAAGCAATTTCAAAGCCAAGCCAGGGGCTGACTTTACCCAGAACCACATGGAGCCTATTTGGGGGCTTTTCAAAAAAAAAAAAAAAGAAAGAGAAAAAAAAAAAAAGAGAGGAAAAAAAAAAAAAAGGAAAAAAAAAAAAGAGGAAAAAAAAAAAAAAAAAAGGAAGGGGGGGAAGGAAAGGGGAAAAAAGGAAAAGGGAAAAAAAGAAGCGAAGGAGGGAAAAGAGGGGGTGAGAGTGAATTTAAAAAAAAAAAGGGAAAAAAAAAAAAAAAAAAAAAAAAAAAAAAAAAAAAAAAAGGAAAAAAAAAGGGAAAAATTAAAAAAAAAAAAAAAAAGGAAAAATAAAAAAAAAAAAAAAAAGGAAAAAAAAAGGGAGAAAAAGGGCGGGGAAAGGAAAGAAGAAGGGAGAAGGAGAGGTTTGGGGAGCAGGGCGCTCCGGGCCCTGCGGGCAGCACTCGGCCGTGTGCCGCTGTCCCGGCCCGGGAGCTGCCGCGGCCGGTCCCGCGTGGCCGCTCCGTCCGGGGCGCCGTGAATGGGCGGGGCCGCAGGGCGGGGCCTCGCCGCCAAGCCCCGCCCCCTCCTCGTCTCGACCAA